TTCGAAGTACTCATTCTTTATCTGTATTAAATTAATAATAATCCTTCCGAAGATATTAACTTTTTATTTGTGTTAATTTACACTACTTACTAATAGTCAGTAGTTTAATTTCTTTTTGCGCATTATTTAAACATATCCTTACTAAAGAATTCCCAAATATTCACATATGAAAAAGATTTTCATCTAAACAATTTGGTATTTAAAAAGCCATAAAATTGTATATTTTTATATAATGATCAATGTGAAATGAACACATTTTGTATGTTAGCAGTGTACGTTTAAAACGAGTAGAATTCATAGAGAGTGTAATTTATATAAATGAATGTCATACAATGGACAGCTCAGAACCAATTGGACGATTTGAACTTCGCAGATAACCTAGCCCTCCTATCGCATGCACACGAACAAATGCAGATGAAGACATCCAGTGTAGCATCAGTCTCTGCATCAGTAGGCCTCAGCATACACAAGGGGAAAGCCAAGGTCTTCAAATATAACATGGAGAACAGCAATCCAGTCACTCTTGATGGAGAAACTCTGAGAGTTGTAGAATTCTTCACATACCTGTGATGAACAAGGAAGTTGAGACGCAGACGTAAAGGGGAGGATTGGCAAAGCATCAGCCGCATTCCTATAATTGAACAACATTAGAAACTCAAAACAACTTTCAACCAATATCAAAGTGAGGATCTTCAATACGAACGTCAAGGCAGTTCTACTGTATGGAGCTGAAACATGGAAAACTATAACAACCATCATCAAGAAGGTACAAGTATTTGTAGATGGTTGTCTACGCAAAATACTCAACATCCATTGACCGGATACCATGAGAAATAGTCTACTATGGGGAGAGGACAAACCAGTTTCCAACTGAAGAGGAAATTAGGAAAAGACGATGGAAATGGATAGGACATACATTACGCAAATCATCAAACTGCATCACGAGGCAAGTACTAACTTGGAATTCTAAAGGGAAACGGAAAAGAGGAAGGCCAAAGAACACATTACATCGGGAAATTGAACCAGATATGAAAAGTATGAATTATAACTAGAAAGATCTGGAAAGGATTGTTGAGGACAGGGTTGGATGGAGAATGCTGATGAGCGGCCTGTACTCCTTCACGAGGAGTAACAGGCATAAGTAATTAATTAAGTTACATAAATGAATAAAAAATAGATCAACAATGCGGATTGCACGAAAAAAATACTTCTTTACAGTTAACTTTCTGTCATCGTTTAACTCTTATATACGTTGTCCTACATTTGAACTTGAATATCAATACCAGTTAAATAAATGAGTGTGCTTAAATTTACAATGAGATCATAAAAAGGTATACTGTGAAAAGAAAGTAGTATAATTCAGACGAATAATGAGATAACATGACGTATGAGATTATGTAATAAAATGCTAATCATGAATTGTTTTATTTTATAACTAATATAACTGTGAATCGTAGTGCTTTAATATTTTTCTATTCCTTAACCTTCCGTTTAATCCGCAAATTATTGTCATATTTATTAATATCCCAGACTTATCGTTAACTAGTTATTATCTTAACACTCTGGTCTGGTATTGAGTACAAACCATAATTTTCTAATCCTGTTGTCATGTAGTCAGACATTTCAAATGCATTATTGCTTGGGTTTTAAGTCAAAATTGAATTCAGTACAACGGAAAATTGATCTGCCCTTCATCTTCGTCTTTTGACTGGCCACTGGATAAGAAGAAGCTACAGATCAATACATTATAAAGCGCTGATTATTGTTTATTGATTGGTGTATTAATTGGTGGTTAGAAGGCCACCGGCTCCACTGGGAATGTAGGGGGACTAATCGGTATTCAGAATAGAGAGAAAGTACACAATCTCTGTCTTCTCGTTACGGCCCACTCACACGGACTGAGGTACAACCCAGGTGTCCGTTCTTCTAGCGTAAACTAAATAACCAATCAGTTAACTAATGAGACTGAAGTTATAGGTAGCACAATATTATCCCACAAATACATACACGAAGCTACATGGGTCCTCCCGGATCACACCGTGAAGAAACAGATCGACCATATCTGCATCAATAAAAAATTCGGAAGGACAATGGAAGACGTGAGAATCAGGAGAGGAGCTGACATAGCTTCAAATCACCACCTGGTTGCGGCCAAGATGAAACTAAAGCTAGTGACGTATTGGACAACTGGGCAAACAGCAATACAAAGGTTCAATGCAGCATTTCTTCAGCATACTGTTCAACTCAAAAAATTCAAAATATCTCTCAACAAAAGGTTTCAAGTTTTACAGGATCTACTGAAAGAAAAAGAAATTACTGTGGATAACAGCTGGAAGGAGATTAAAGAAACTTTAACTTCAACGTGTCTGGAGGTGTTGGGCCGTCAGAAGTATCATCATAAGGAACGGATCTCTATCGAAACCCTGCACAAGAAAAGAAGAAAAATGACAGCAATTAACAACAGCCGAATACAAACAGAGAAATTCAAGGCACATGCCAAATACACGGACGAAAACAAGCGGATAAAGAAGAGCATAAGAGACGATGAACAGAAATACGTGGAAGATCTAGCAACGACGGTGGAAAATTCTACAAGATAAGGGAATATGACACAACAAAGACATTGGCAGAGAAATATAATAAACCAGTGAGACCAATCAAGAACGAAGAAGGCAAATCGATCACTGTGATTCGAGAATAAAGGAACGGACTGACAGAACATCTTGAAGAACTCTTGACTAGGCCAGCTCCACTGAACCCATCGGACTTCGAAGCAGTACACATAAATCTTCCTACAGGTGTTGCTCCACCAACCATCGAAGAAATCACGATTGTCATCGGAGAAATCAAGATTGGGAAATCAAAAGGACCTGATAATATACCAGGTGAAACACTGAAGTCAGACACAGAAGTGACAGCAAGTATGTTTCACATTTTATTGAGAAAGATTTGGAAGGAGGACCATGTACCGGCAGATAGCAAAGAAGGTTACTTCACCAAGATACCATAGAAAGGAGATCGGGGCAAATGAAAGAACTACAGAGGAATCACCTTATTATCGGTACCATTAAACGTTTATAACAGTGTTGCTGAACCAGATGGAAGATTAAGAAGACCCTCAGCTCCGGCATTAACAGACAGGATTCCATAAGGATCAGTCGTGTACAGACCAAATCGCGACACTACGGATCATCGTTGAGCAACCGATTGAATCAGACTCATCACTATGCATTAACTTCCTCGACTATGGGAAAACATTCAACAATTTAGATAGGAAGACTCTATGGAAACTCCCTTGACACTATGGAACATATGAGATTGTCAATATCATATGGAATTCATACGACGAAATACAGCGCAAAGTCGTGCATGGTGGTCAGCTAACAAATGTATTCCAAGAAATGACCAGGGTCACTTTCTCTTTCGTCTCTTGGTCGGCTGGATTATGAAGACGGATTATAGTGGACAGTTGGGATGCGGCTAGACGATCCGGACTTCGCAGATGACCAAGCCCTTCCATCACATACACTGCAACAAATGCAGGTCATGACAAACAGTGTGGCAGCAGTCTGTGCATTGGCAGGCCTCAACATTCACAACGGAAAAAGCAAGATCCTCAAATACAACACGAAAAACACCAACCCAATCACACTTGATGGTGAAACTTTGAAAAAGGTGGAAATTTCCACATACCTGAAGAGCATAGTCAATGGAGAAGGAGAATTTGATGCAGACGTAAAGATGAGGATTGGCAAAGCATTAGCAGCATTCCTACAATTGAAGGCCATATGGAACTCAGAATGACTGTCTGTAAACCAACATCAAATTCAGGATCTTCAATACGAACGCCAAAACAGTTAATTCTGCTATACAGAGCTGAAACTTGGAGAACTAATACAATCGTCATCAAAGTAGTACAGATATTTCTAAACAGTTGTTTAAACAAGATACTGAATGTCTATTGGCCGGATACCATCAACAACAACCTACTGTGGGACAGAACAAACTAATTTCCAGTTGAAGAGGAAATAAGTAAAAGACGCTGTTCGTGGATAGGTTACACATTGTGGAAATCACCAAACTTCATCACGATGCAAGCTCTCACTTGGAATCCTGAAGCGAAAAGTAAAGGAGGAAGACTAATAGATATATTACGTCGGTGACTGGAAGCAGACATCGAAAGAACGAATGGCAACTAAAAACAGCCGCAAAGGATCGCCCAAGACAGATTTTGATAGTGAATCGTGGTAAGCGGCCTATGGTCCTCCAATAGGGGTTACAAGCGAAAGAAGCTTGAAAGCGTTGAGGTCTGGTCTGTTTGTATTTAACCCATGTGTGTCTGAAATATACGATTCATACAGCAAAGTGTTATATTTCTATTCTGGACTGAACAGACTGAGCTAGGCGAAAAGCTACTGTACGGAGGATCATTGAGGATTAAGGGTTGAATCGATGATTCTTGTGTTGGTCAACGCACTATTGGTTTAGCACAGGGAGAGGGTCACAGAAATCGGTATTATGACCAGTAATCTTTTCACATGCTGATTGATAGAAACATAATTCATGACAAGTATTGGAAGTGAGAAAAAGATGAGAGCACGGGGTTTTAGAAGGATTCAAGTAGTTTGTCGGAATGATTTGGTATATGATGAAAAGGATCAATTAATGTCTCCTGAAACGTTTGCCTATCAAGTGGCCTCTTCATGAAACGATCAAGAACTGCTCCTCGTCGATTTAACACGAGAATAAATGTATCTCCGCATAAGGACTTAAAGGAAGGTTAGATGAGCCAAGAGATATGTTTGTTAACACTAGCTCAGGCCTTCCAGCTTTCATTCAAAAACTTACGTTCGTTTGCTGATAATTTCTGTAGAATCATGATATCTTTATATAGCATCACGCTGTAATTCATCAAGCCACTGATGCTATTTCTTCCGTTTCGTTTGGGTATTTTCTTGAGAAGACGTCGATTACAATATTGTACAGTGAATATTGTAACTGTGGCATTTAAGTTTAGAGGAAGTATTTTGCCGCGGTATTCGGTAGTTGGGGATGAAGGCGTTAATTGGTTTGTTTGCATTTGTCGGGATTTACTTAATGCATCATCTGGCATTATTGCTGCATGTTCTATATATGTATAAATATCTTTTATTTGTCTAGCGACATATATTTATGAGTTGCACCTCCTTACTACACAAATCTGTTTAGTTGGTCTGCTCCGTGAATATGATTATTATTGTGTTCAAATGCTGAGTAATCAAATGAAGATCAATAGTTAATCCTACATTACACTAATCTGGACTCATATACCTTTACTCTTTGTAAGCTTGGAACTTCCCAACCATCGAGTCAATGTATACAAATAGCCAGTTTGTGTAAAAACCTAGTCTTCAGTAGTAAAGAGAGGAGATCTATAGACCTTTATTAATCCTTGCAGTTTGTAATACTGTGGAGGTTCAATCTCATTTTGAATATATCAACAAAAGGTGCTGATATTACGTGTTCCGGTAGTGTGGCAACTCGAACTGATGTACGTACGTACGGAGTTCTACGTTGTTACTGACTGAATTCCAGTAATTTACTACTCGGTACGAGAAACGTAACTCCAGACGTAAAAGATTTGATCTCGGTTTTTTGGACGTTCTTTGAATGTCCTCTCAAATGATCAGTCCTAGATGGAAGTAAAAGATAAGACATGTTAATACCAAGGTCATCGTTCAGTATACGATAAGCTGATATTAGGTCACCCCGTATTCCACGGTATGATAACGGAAATAAGTTAAGGTGTCCCAGTCTGTCTTCATAAGATAGGCCACATAAACCTTTTACCATCTTAGTACCCCGTTATTGGACTCTCCAGCATACCTGCTTCATACTTGATACAAGGACTCGCTGCTTGAATCCCATATTCCAAATGTGGCCGCACGTAAATCGGGTATGATAATCTAAACATTTCACCTAAATACTGGAAAGACCTACGAATAGGCCATAACACCCTATAGCCTTTAGCAGCAGCAGCCTTACAGTGGCTAGTGGTTTTAAGACCATTGCTTAATATGACTCCTAAATCTTTATAGTTTCTTACTTTGGGTAGCACGTATCCACACATTGTGTAGTGATACGAATCATCATAGTTATTTAATTGCATCACCACACTCTTATCAGGATTTACTTCTAGTGACCACCTGTCCAACCATGACACCAATGAGCTAAGATCATCCTGTAATACTATTCTATCCGACATACTGTGTATGGGTATCCAAATTTTTATGTCATCAGCGAAGAGCAGAACGGATGATTTTGCTACAGTTGGCAATTCATTTACATAAAGTAAAAAGAGAAGAGGACCGAGGGTTGGACCTTGGGGAACTCCGCTTTTTACGGGTACCTACGGGAAAAGAGCTCCGTTAACCCTTACCCTTTGTCTCCTGTCATGGAGGGAGTTACTTATCCAATCTACGACAGTTTAATGGATTCTAAAACGTTCCAGTTTGGATTTAAGACCAGAATAGGAGACCTTATCTAAGGCCTTATTTAGATCTATGAAAATCACATCCACAGGAGCATTCCGATCCTTTGCCGCAGCCCAATCTTCTCGTGCAATGAGAAGATTTATCATGCAAGATAGGCCTTTCCGAAAACCATGTTGTGCCCTGGAGAAAAGATTATGTCCTTCAACATAGTTTATAACAGATATCCGAGTGATTTTTTCAATCAGTTTTACAACCGCACTAGTCAAGCTAACGGGTCTATAGTTACTGACTTTTCTGTACTAGAAATTTATGCTTAAGCAATCGGTGATATCACGCGTAGGAAATACCATTAAGGATGGGCCATACAGTTGACTATATGATAAATGTGGGATCGTTTTAAAGTTATGGTCTCCTGGTGACAAAAGTATTTTTTACCCACAATTTATTGTTAGGAAGTACACTGATTTGCAACTTTGATCGTAAACTGGTACGAATATCGTAGAGGTATTTGTTTGGGAAAACTAGTAGGTGAGCCTTTGACATTAGAAGGTGTCAGAAAAATGGATAAAACTCGTACATACAAATCAAGTGATTTGTGTGACGCATGTGTACCCAACGGTCCTTTGTACCAATATTTATATGTTCAAATAAATAAATAAAGCACGGTAAAGGGTTATAAACTTATAAATGTCCGTTGATGGTGTTAAATTAACGTATCCTCTCAAAAATCTCTTGCTCTGTACTATGAATCACTTACTCGCATTCCCTGTCGCATTGGTTAGAACGTGCTAAAGTTTTCGGGTCTTCCGAGTGTATAGTTTACCTTTACCTGTGAAACTTGAGGACCTGGCGTGGAGCATTGACGGGTCTGTTAATGTTTTAGGATATCTTAACCCAAATCCTAATAGGATCTGTTTTAAAACCAAAGAAACATTATGAACAAGGACTCCTCATATGGCTGCTTATACTCTTTCTTGGCAACCTTAGGACTCTAGCAAGACTCCTTTAAACAGTCATACACATCTTCACCATCATTACCGTAACCTCTTGTAGTGGGGCCAACGAAGCAGTGTTTCAAAACAACTGTCTTATGATCGTATCCAAACCTTTGATGGCCCTTGGAGGCTCGCCAGTCACCGGTATATATCATAGTTCCTGATCATTTTTGAGTTAGTTGGACCAAAGTCTCGGCCAGGCGACTTTAAATCTCTCCAGTCTTTTAATTTCCTCTATCATACTTCTGCCGAATGCCCTGGTACGGGCGAGGGTGTGAAGAGTCTGTTCTCTAAATGCTCTCACACGAGTACATGTGCATAGCCATTGTCAAGGAAGTCCTACTCATTGTCTTCTCGCAGCAGGAGTGTTGTCTACGAAATTGAGAGAACAAAAAGCAAATGTCCACTGGGGACTTAAACCGAATTGGTGGGTATTGAGGACCGATCTCGGCGAGTTGTAAAAACTTGATTCCAGGCCAATGATACGCAGGTGCTCCAGGATCATTTGGGAAAAACTGTGTAAATCTATTCTTGATCACTGACTACTACCATGTTACTACATCTCCTAACGTTGGTCCACTGTCTTGTGGGTTAGACCTCTAGGTCAAAGGGTCGAGTGGTGAGCTCCTGAGAAAACCACCTGCCTCTGTCTAGTCATTTGGGCAGTATCCCAGCCCTCACGCAAATCAAATGACGAAGTATGTCGCATATTTATTTAGCACCCTCTTGTACTAATGGTTTTGCGCTTAAATAATGAAAAGTAATACATGAGTTCCATCTTTTGCTGACACCCGAACAACGAGGGCTCCCGTAATAATTCTCCTAAACATACCCCCCAAGCACCATTGTAGCAGTCATTAGTCCTTCCACTACAGCTTGCGTGTCTGTCATCGAGTACACAACTAAGAAAATTTTCCTCAGTCTTAATTTAAACAAACGAGTAACTGCCCGGTTTTAATAGATTTTCTGCAACAGTAGTTATGACTACAATCACACACCATTATATTTTCTAACAACCTCCTGGTTTGTAAACAGTTTGCACGTTCACCATGGACTTGACTGTTTAGATTACATTGCATCCTGGGTCAATTACTCTGATCACAGGATGTTACCCATATATCCTTATCCAAAAATAGTCAATGCCATTAATAAACAGGTCTGATAGAAGTATCTCGCGGGAAAGTGTTTGTTGCCTAAGTCATATTACTGGGGGCTTGTATTCAAACACTGTTAGTCAATCTTCAGTCGATGTCAAAGTGTTACTTAGGCCATTTCTTTAGTATTTACTAGGCGATAACCTTACAGCAATGACATATTTTATTACGAAATTTAGGATGGCTTTATGACATTTTCTAACCTAAAACTAACTCTAGGGCCAAGAAATATTTGTCTATAATGGGGTCAAGTGACTTTTTCAACTCGAAATATATGCTTAACGAAGTATTAATGAGATTTTTGTTCATGGAGTTGGTATGTTATTCAATCCTGACAAAATCAACTGTTTTATCTAAATTCTGACTGGTTTATTCCTCCAGTTAGTCACTTCTAAGAATTGAAATTTTTAGGTGTTCCAATTCTTTGTCTCAAGTGTCGCCAATAAACACATTTTTTAAACACTAATTATAAGTGTTCTAAAACATTTGATCTCGGCTTTAGCTGTAGTTAATTCTGAGTTTTCGAATATCCGACTAAGCGTAGACTCAGCTGAAAATGCTACAACATAGTCCTCTCTCTTATTACTTTTCAGCTTCTTAATAATGCTTAAAATCGATGAGTCTGTCTGCCTTTAAGTTAATAGGTGGCAAAGTTAACAAGACTAAACCCTATTTAAACTCCCTAAACTTAGACTTCCAGTTTCCTAGTTGTTGCTACCTTGACGTGGTGGTCGGGCTTGCCTATCGTGATGAAGCAACCGAGCTATACTGGCTGGAACAACCGTTCCTCAAGGTCCTACCATGTCAGAAAGGTCGGTTGAAGAGCGGTAAGACTAAAAGCAACAAACCCAAGGTCCGAAGGCGAAGTCGTACTGCTGACTGTACAGAGGTGTGACAGCAGTAAGGTGTTTCCTTCAGACAACCAGCATGACAGCGATGCTGCCTTCCCACAAGGAGGGGTGGGGTTAGAAAAGGTCGACCCTAAAAATGCACACCTCACCTTACCTCACGGATTTCCGTCTCCGGCGGTAAGGCCCTTTGAAGAACGGAGCTAACACGTCAAAAACCTCCTACGAAAAGGCCGTGCGCGACCGGCCTCAAGCAGTTGTCCCTTGGGCACTGCGGTCACGCTCTCAGGTCACTAAGACCACCTTTAATCCAATTTCCTTTTCAGGTACCTTCAGAAGAACCCTTCCACGGTGTGGGCAACCGGGAAGTGATAACCGCCCTCATACCTCTAACAGCACCCAAGACCACTGTATTCATAATCAACCTCCCTCTTCAATTCCTATTATTCCTCCTACATCGACTTTCAACTTTAAATTTCCTCTCTCGGCTTCCACCTCAAGTGTCACCATAGCCAACGATTCTAGTGCGCAAAACACTGTCCCAGGTCTACTGAAACCTCGCTCCAAACTACACATTGGAGCCTTCAACGTATGCACCCTATGTCAAATCGGTCAGCAAGCTTCCTTGGCTAAAACCCTAGAGTCTCTTTCCATTGATGTATGCTGTGTCTCCGAAACACGCATACAGGATTCCAGTGTGGTTATTCACTTGACCTCACCTCGGCAAAACGGAGTGCCAACAAGATACACCCTTCGTGTATCTGGTGACCCGATGGCAAGTTCTCGTGGACTGGCAGGTGTAGGCATAGCACTAAGCATGAGGGCGGAACAAACACTGCTAGAGTGGATCCCCGTCAACAGTCGTTTATGTGCCGTTCGGCTGAACGGCTACGTAAGAACTCGGAAGGATAGGGACACGCGTCGTTGCCTTTTTGTCGTTTCTGCCTACGCTCCCACTGACTGCAGCTCAGATGAAGTGAAAGATGAATTTTACAGAAAGCTGTCCGAACTTCTTCAGAAAGCTAAACGTTCAGACAAAGTACTCGTAGCAGGTGACTTTAATGCCCAGATAAGTAGTTTAAACCAAATAGAAAAGCATTTAGTTGGGTATTTTAGTATTCCGGCACAACGAACAGATAATGGTGATCGTCTGCTGCAACTGTGCTCAGACAATCGTTTATTTTTAGCAAACACAAATTTTAAGCATAAGGAGAGACATCGTCTAACATGGCGACCCCCTACACCAAACCAACGATGGACTCAAATAGACCATATTGCCATCAGTCATCGTTGGAGAGGGTCGGTAGAAGATTGTCGCTCATTCTGGAGTACCTGCTTGGACTCCGACCATGCCCTAATACGGGCACGCATCTGCTTGCGCCTCACTGGACGCAAAAAAGCCACATTAAAAAGACCCGTCAGAACTGAGTTGAGTAACGAGAAAATCAAAAGTAGGTTCCAGGAACAACTGAGGTCACACTTAGGTAGTTGTGAAGATGAGGCTGACCCAGATGTTGCTTGGAAGGGCATACAATCAGCTGTGGAAACAGCAGTGACATCTATTAGTGACTTAAACCACAGAGTTGCAAGGAACCAGTGGATTTCTTCAAGGTCTGTCACACTGATGGATTCTCGTAAACTCGTCCCATCAGGTTCTGAACATGATGAAGAGCGAAAACAAATCAGATCTAGGTTAAGAAAAAGTCTAAGGAACGACTGTGAGCAGTGGTGGGTAACGAAAGCAAAAGAGATGGAAAAGGCGGCGACTATAGGGAACACAAGACAGCTTTACAGACTAATAAAAGAAACTGGAATTAATAAGTCAAGTGTAAGTGAGATTATTTCGGAAAAAGATGATACTGTCATCTGCTCCCAGTCCAGGCGTTTAGAACGATGGGCGGAACATTTTAGAGAACAGTTCAACTGGCCTTCAGCTACTGTACAACTACCCTCTATTCCCAGACAGTGTGAATGGAACATTGAAGTAGGTCCCCCAACTCTAGCTGAAGTTCAAAAGGCTATAGTTAATCTGAAACGAGGAGGGGCAGCTGGTCCAGATGGATTGGCTCCAGAGGTCTTTAAGGATGGTGGCCCAATTTTAGCGATTAAGTTGACTAATATTTTAGCTAAGATCTGGGAATTAGACTTTATCCCATCTGACTGGTCGCAATCACTTATCGTCCCAATATATAAGAAAGGGTTAAAATCATCCTGTGACAACCACAGAGGGATTAGTTTAACAAACATAGTATCTAAAATACTGGCCTCGATAATTATCAAACGCCTAACTAAGACTCGTGAACTACAAACTCGAGAGAACCAAGCTGGCTTTAGACCTGGTCGTGGCTGCATCGACCACATATTCACCATTCGTCAGGTTCTAGAACACAGGCATACCTATCGGCGTCCGACGATGGTGGTCTTTCTTGACTTAAAAGCAGCATTTGACTCGGTAGACCGCGAGACTCTGTGGCAGTGTCTGTCATTGAAAGGCGTACCTCAGAAGTACATAAACCTTGTGAAGGCTCTTTACTCGAACACTACTAGTCGAGTCAGAGCTTATGGCGAACTGTCATCTACTTTTGCAACTTCAAGTGGTGTCTGTCAAGGCTGTCCACTTTCTCCATTTTTGTTTAACTTCATCATAGACCTATTGATGGAAATAACACTCTCGTCGACTGAATTCTCGGGTATTGATCTGCTTCCAGGAGGTCCACTTATCGACTTAGAATACGCAGATGACATAGTCCTGTTTGGTGAAGACGCTGACAAAATGCAGAGTCTTCTGGTAGCACTAAGCAACAATGCCAGAATGTTTGGGATGCGCTTCTCTCCCTCTAAATGCAAGTTGTTGCTTGAGGACTGGTCTGCGTCAACACCTGAACTAAGGATAGGGAGTGAAGTAGTCGAACGCGTCGACAACTTCACTTATCTTGGAAGTCTGATCAGCCCTAATGGGTTGGTGTCTGACGAAATCTCAGCACGGATTCGAAAAGCTCGTTTGGCTTTTGCCAACTTACGTCACCTTTGGCGGAGGCGAGATATCCGTCTATCAATAAAAGGACGAGTATACTGCGCGGCAGTCCGTTCTGTCTTACTTTACGGCAGCGAAACATGGCCTTTAAGAGTGGAAGACACCCGTAAGCTACTAGTATTTGACCACAGATGCCTTAGAAATATTGCTGGCATCTGCTGGGATCACCGGGTAAGTAATAGTGAGGTTAGACGCAGGGTATTAGGGAATGATGGTAAATCAGTTGATGAGGTTATGAATCTTCATCGACTGAGATGGTTGGGCCACGTATTACGTATGCCTGAACACCGATTACCACGACGTGCAATGCTAAGCGGTGTAGGGGATGGTTGGAAGAAAGTTAGGGGCGGCCAAACCAAAACGTGGCATCAGTGCCTGAAGTCACTAACTTCTAGTCTGAGCCATGTTGGTAGATGCAGACTACTTGGTTGGGGTCCGCGTGACTTTCGTAACCAATGGTTGGAGACTCTTGGTGACATGGCTCAGAATCGATCACAATGGCGTCGGTGTATACACTCCCTGTCTTCCCTTAAACTAAGAGATTAAAATCACTTCATATCTTTCTTTCTACGAACTAATTCTTTCTTCCTATACTATATCTTTATTGCAACCTTTGACCTAACCACTTCTATGAATCCGGTGTTCATCTTGCTGTGCTAATGAGGTATGGCAACCTGGACCGATGCACATATGTGCCTGGTCATACGTTGTAGCTGACTGACTTCCTAGTCATTTGAATTAAATTGAGACTATTGGTTTTATATCTGTTTTATTATCTACTGGTTAATACAGCTGAATATAGGGAATCCATTGATGACTTCCTTGGCGTAGATTCTCAACAAACAGTATAACCAGCTTCTCCACAAAACTTCATAGAAATTCTAGTAAAAATAGTCAGTAGCGTTCATGGAATTTATTTATATTATTTATTTAAACATATAGATAATGGCACAAGGAGGCACCAAATACATATTCGCCACACAAATCTCATTTGATTTGTGTGAGGGCTGTGATACTCCTCGGGTGCCTGAACCGAAGCAGGTGATTTTCTTAGGGGGCCACCTTCAGAGACTGACCTAAAGGTCTGATCCTCAAGGTAGTGGAGCATCGTAAGAAGATGCAATCCCATGGTAGCCGGTGACCAACAATTGGTTCATACACCATTTGTTTCCTTAGGATACTGGAGCCCATGTGCACCATTGGTTTGGAATGAGGGTTTTCCAACTCTCCTAGATGGATCCTCCGTAACTACCAACGCGGTTAAAGCACCGGACATTCGCTTTTCGTCCTCTCAATTTCGTAAACAACACCCATGGTACAAGGAAGCAGTAAGTAGGACTTCCCTGACAGAGGCTATATACGCGTGGCCATGTGAGAGCATTTCGAGAAAGAGAACTAACTCTCCCCACTCTCGGCCATATCAGGGCATTTGGGGGGGGGCATTCATACAAACACTTCTTAAAACTTTCCTGTTCCTTGTCTTTAAAAATTGAATACACATATAAGTTCGTCTATACAACTATTTAGTGTGAATTGCAATGAATACCCTTACATTTCTTTGATACTTATCGTTTGTTTTTTTCTTCATTTCTTTAACACAGAAAAGTGTACATCAGAAAAAAATACACAAGATAATTGGGATTTAATTTTAGAAATTTGTGAAAAATACGCTAAACAAGAGTAAGAATTTTTTTCATTTTCAATTGTCTAGTTACATAGGCCAGCAATTTGTATTCAAACAATATGTAAACGAATATTTCATAAAAATCCAAATGTATCTATACGATCTATAACAGTAAGTAAACTATCATATTTATACAAATGATTCCCTAACTCCCCCTCTCTCTCTCCCCTCCCTCCCCTTTCCCCCCCCCCCGCCGAAATAAAAGTTATTAGATGCATGCAGTAAAAATTGTGGTAAACAATTTAATCGAGAATTAGCTTCAAAAGATTTTTCACAATTAATCAAGAAAAATTTCTCGGTAATTATAATTCAAAAATTGATTTAAATTAAAATTTCATTTGTAGAGTTTACAACGTATTCCATCTATTAAATTAATTGATATCTTTGAAAAATGGTCAATTGATTTCAAAAATGATTCAGAATTAGCGTATATTCTCTAATTATTTCATTCGAATAGACTTCTTCATTGTTTTTAGATTAGCAGCTAGTTTTTATAATTGGGTTAAAACGGAATATCCAGATCTTGTGAAACAAGCAATGCATGAAAGACAAGTTAGTTTAAGAGAATGTTCCTATGAGATTATAATCATTTTATATATATATATTACTTTTTAACAAATGAATTCTTTCTTCCAGTACTTTATCCATCCTTGTATTCAATCTTTCTATTATATATTACCACCACTGAATTAACTACCTCTATGAATCCGGTGTTCATTTTGCTGTGCTAATGGGGTATGACAACTTAGAGTGATGCATATATTTGCCTGCTCTTATGTTGTAGCTGACTAACTGTTCCTGTAGTGTCATGTTTATTTATATACAACTATTTTAGTAATATCTCGGTTGTTATGTGTTTTGTTTTTCTCTACACAAAACATCTTTACGGACGAATAAAAGAAACTGGAATTATTAAATCAAGTGTAAGTCAGACTATTTCGGAAAAAGACGACACCCTCATCTGCTCCTAGTCCAGACGTTTAGAACGATGGGCGGAATATTTCAGGGAACAGTTCAGCTGGCCTTCAGCGACTCTACAACTACCCTTCATTCCCAGACAGTGTGAATGGAACATTGAAGTAGGTCCCTCAACTCTTGCTGAAGTTCAAAAGGCTATAGTTAATCTGAAACGAGGAAGGGCAGCTGGTCCAGATAGATTGGCTCCAGAGATCTTTAAGGATGGTGGTCCAATTTTAGCGATTAGGTTGACTAATATTTTAGCTAAGATCTGGGAGTTAGACGTTATTCCATCTGACTGGTCACAATCACTTATCGTCCCAATATATAAGAAAGGGTCAAAATCATCCTGTGACAACCATAGAGGGATTAGTTTAACTAATATAGTATCTAAAATACTAGCCTCGATAATTATCAAACGCCTAACTAAGACTCGTGAACTACAAACTCGAGAGAACCAAGCTGGCTTTAGACCTGGTCGTGGCTGCATCGACCACATATTCACCATTCATCAGGTTCTAGAACACAAGCATACTTATCGGCGTCCGACGATGGTGGTCTTTCTTGACTAAAAAGCAGCATTTGAATGGGTAGACCGCGAGATTCTGTGGTAGTGTCTGTCATTAAAAGGCGTACCCCAGAAGTACATAAACCTTGTGAAGGCTCTTTACTCGAACACTACTAGTCGAGTCAGAGCTTATGGCGAACTGTCATCTACTTTTGCAACCACATGTGGTGTCTGTCAAGGCTGTCCACTTTCCCCATTTTTGTTTAACTTCATCATAGATCTACTGATGGGAATAACTTTCTCGTCGACTGAGGTCTCGGGTATTGATCTCCTTCCAGGAAGTCTACTTATTGACATAGAATACGCAGATGACATAGTCCTGTTTGGTGAAGACGCTGACAAAATGCAGAGCCTTTTGGTAGCACTAAGGAACAATGTTTGGGATGCGCTTCTCTTCCTCTAAATATAAGTTGTTGCTTGAGGACTGGTCTGCGTCAACACCTGAACTAAGGATAGAGAGCGAAGTAGTCGAACGCGTTGACAATTTCACTTATCTTGGAAGTTTGATCAGCCTTAATGGGTTGGTGTCTGACGAAATCTCAGCACGGATTCGAAAAGCACGTTTGACTTTTGCCAACTTACGTCACCTATCGTGAACGCTAGATATTCGTCTATCAATTAAGGGACGAGTATACTACGTAAGTAATAGTGAGGTTAGACGTAGAGTATTAGGGAATGATGATAGTAAATCAGTTGATAAGGTTGTGAATCTTCATCGACTGAGATAGTTGGGCCACGTGCTGCGTATGCCTGAACTCCGATTACCATGACGTGCAGTGCTGATTAGTGTTGGAGATGGATGGAAGAAAGTTAGGAGTGGCCAAACCACAATGTGGCATCAGTGCTTGAGGTCACCAACTTCTAGTCTTAGCCATGTTGGTAAATGTAGACTACTTGGTTGTGGTTCGCGTGACTATCGTAACCAATATTTGGAGACTCTTGGTGACATGGTTCAGAATCAATCACAATGGCGTAGGTGTATACACTCTCTGTCTTCCATTAAACTAAGAGATTAAAATCGCTTCATATCTTTCTTTATGCGTACTATTTCTTTCTTCCTGTGCTATATCCTTATACGCAATCTTTCTTTCATATATTACCACCATTGACTTAACTCCTATGAATCCAGTGTTTATCTTGTTGTGCTAATGAGGTGTGACAAATTGTACCGATGCATATATGTGCCTGGTCCTGATTTGCAACTGACTGACTGAGACTGATTTTAGGTATGTTTCGGTAAAGTTCAATAGTGAATTATTGTCGTAAGTGGCTACCTCAAGTCGTGTTCACTAAACTTGATATGGCAACTTGAGTTGGCGTACATTTATCCCTGGGTTTACACTGACTGACTAACTGAAGAGGCCTACTGTCAGTTACTATTTACCTTCCTTATTGATCTACTACAAATGACAGTCTCTTTTCAACATTTAGTGAACTGCTTTTTAGCACTAAATCATTGTAGCCTATCAAAAGTTCATAACGTATCTACTATTAGGTGTAAGCTCTAGCAAAATTCCGAATTTCCAATACTTTAAATAACAATATAAGCATATCTAAGATACATTTCTCACCTTGAAAACTGAAGAATATTGTCTCATAACTAATCTGAATCACCATCAAGTGTAACAGTAATAGATGAAATGATTTAGCGAATATATATCACTTTACTCACCAGAATCTTAATGAATGCCCAAAAGTTGGTCAGGTTTTTACTAACACCATCCATTTCTAACATCTAAAATATTCAAATACTTATCACAAGGTAAATGTATTGCACAGTAGCCTACATTTTTCTCACTCTATTTGTACAACATAATCATTGAATAATGAAGGTAATCAAATGTTTTTTGCAGGTACCTAATCGTAAATGTAACGTTCTATTCATTTTACTTTCATCACTAGTATAAGGTATCTTTTTGGGAAATCTTATGGATACTCAATTGTGCATTTCTCCTACTGCTGTAATTAATCGTTCAAGCTATAAACAAGCCAGTGTAGAAAAGCGCAATTTGATTGCGTATCCTAACCATCTGTATTTAATGTTAGTTAACAGCTGTCAACAAAATATCACGGACTTGTAATAATATTATGATCGGATATTGTCGATGCCATTTTTCAAGTTCCAGTTATGGAAATTGTTATCTCTTGTAATCACCAATTTGTTATGGCTCCAAATACTAATTGATATCACGTGCTATATTCTTAAATTAAAATTCAAACTCTCGATTAGTTCAATTATATTGCCGGTAGAACCGGTGACCTATGGACTAATTGACCAATGAACAACAGCGATACCTTAACTTTTATTGGTCTTCGAGCTCCTCCCAAGTCAGTTGTTAATCAGAATATGCGAATAATAGGTAGATTATGACTCAAAGCACACAATCATCTACCTGAAGAGCTTGATGACCACATAGCACATAAAATAAGAAATCACACTTTAATCACAATCATACCCAAAAGTAGTAGAGGGTGAAGCAAAAAGTACATAATTAACAATAACTAAAGAATGATAAAATGTATTATGACAGTTGATAGATGCACTGAATGTTTAAAATACGAGTAATATAGAGATACGATGATAAATTTATCAACTAGTTACGCAATAAAAATATAAATCATTCAAAAAATAGCCTTGAAAGTTCTGACTTTTTCCTATATTCATCCTGTTATTCATAGAAACAATCTATTGTGTGTTGTAATGCATGTTTTCATCATACTGATTACTTTATTCGTAAAGGAAGTATACGACATAATAATTATCTTTCCTAGTATTTTACTTTAACAGATAGTTAAACATGGTCCTTCACGTCAACATGTTGCACAGTTACAAGCTAAAGAAGAAGAAGATTTAGCACAAGGTAAATAACTTGTATATTATAAACTTCATTTGAATAGTTCCCCCTTATTATATATTATCATTCTATTTACAATAAACTTTATGTAGCTTTATCTTTGTATATGTGTAAAAATGTTCAAAGCTTATTATTGTGGACCGCGGGGTGGCTACTCTAATTTCTACCGACTGACCAACTTCAGATATCCCAATCTCCAATATATCGGAACACGAACCGTAGATGAAAATTGTTTATGGGGTCAGGAGAAGAATAAGAATTTACAAAAAAATGCATATTTATACAGTTAGGACTACCGTGAATATTGACCAATAGGAAAATGACACCATTTCACGTTCAAGGATAGCAATTAGACTTAACAGGATAATTTTTAGGATATTTTTCTGAATATTCCAACACTTATCAACACAAAGAAACGTCTCAGTTACAGATTGTTATGCTGCTCAATAATTTGCGAAAAAATGAATCAGTTGAAATTCTGATTTATTCTTCTCAAGTTCAAGTATGCTAGTTCGTCTATCGACTAATTGCTTAACTTGATAAATGTCTAGGTTATTATGAGTTAACTTTGATCACTAATGAAGTAGTCTTAACTTATTTATTTATTTATTTTATTTCAACACATAGATATTGGTACAAGGAGGCACCAAATACATATGCGCCACACAAATCTCATTCGATGTGTGAAGGCTGAGATACTGCCCGGGTGCCCAAACCGAAGCAGGTGGTTTTCTTAGGGGGCCACACCCCGAGCCCTCGACCTGAACGTCTGATCCACAAGGCAGTGGAGCATCGTAAGGAGATGCAGTCCCATGGAAGCCGGTGACCAACAATTGGTTCATACACCACTTGTTTATTCAGGATACTAGAGCCCATGTGCACCATTGGTTTGGAATCCGGTTAAAGCGCCGGACATTCGCTTTTCGTCCTCTCATTTTCGTAAACAACACCCCCTCCACGAGAAGGCAGTGAGTAGGACATCCCTGGCAGAGGCTATATACGCGTGGCCATAAGAGAGCATTTCGAGAGGGAGAGCGGACTCTCCCCACCCTCGGCCATATCAGGGCATTTGGGGGCAATCTTAACTTATATAAGTTTTAGAACGTATACCCTTCTTCTAGCCCAGTTTTCAGTTTCATAGTTAAATATATAACATGCAATAAGGCAGTTGCATTTCTTATATTAATCTCTCATTACGATAGTATGGAATTATTTCCTGATCTGTACATCAACAGAAATGATAAATTACAGCACAGGCATAACTATATCAAAAGTGAAAGTAAGAAAAAGTTAGGTCACTAATCAACTATAACTAAGGAATAATAAATTATACAACGATAATTAATGGATCTATGAATAGTTTACAATAATTTTAATGTAGAAGGCAATAATAACACAGTTATCTAATTATTATGCAATAAAAATGTGAATGATAATCCGCAAATTAGTTTCAATGTCTTCAATATTCAATCCGTTATAACACAAATAGTGTCTTTCTTGAATTCCAGTATTCCTTCATTCATATACCTATTCACTCAGTGTTTCCAAATATTTGGGGCCCCCAAATTCCCTGGTACGTCCGAGAGTGGGGAGAGTCCACTATCACATGGCCACGCGTATATAGCCTCTGCCAGGAAAGTCCTACTCACTGCCTTCTCGTGGCGGGGGTGTTGTTTACGAAAATGAGAGGACGAAAAGCGAATGTCCGGCGCTTTAACCGGATTCCAAACCAGTGGTGCACATGGGCTCCAGTATCCTGTTGGAACAAAAGGCGTATGAACCAATTGTTGGTCACCGGCTTCCATGGGACTGCATCTCCTTACGATGCTCCACTGCCTTGTGGATCAGACGTTCAGGTCGAGGGCTCGGGGTGTGGCCCCCTAAGAAAACCACCTGCTTCGGTTTGGGCACCCGGGCAGTATCTCAGCCTTCACACATCGAATGAGATTTGTGTGGCGCATATGTATTTGGTGCCTCCTTGTACCAATATCTATGTGTTAAAATAAATAAATCCAAAGATTTAGTATTTCTTTTTATCACTCCTACTAAACTATTCTAATCACTTTTTATTTTTTATTTCATCTTACTAATCTCGGGTATGGGGAACTTGGGCTAACATATATGTGTCAGGTTCCATATTGATAATATCTGTTTGTTTACATCATTTTGACTTTTACCACTTATTTTTTCAATAACTAAGAGTTTCATAGCTATTTCGTTGGGTATAGATAACCTGGTTGGTGTTCATGTGACCTGAAACGAAAAAGTTCAAAATCGTTGTCAACAGAGCAGGTGCATTTACTCTTATCTCTTGGAGCCCAACATCTTATGACTTTTTTTACAACTACTGATACTGTTAGTGATTCTTGATAATATTCTCTTGCTGTGCTATTGTAATGTGACAAATTAAGTTGACGCACACATATGTCAGGTTCTATATTACATATGACTGACTGAATAGTCTTCTTTTATTTGTGATTAGATTTTAGTAGCGATAAACACTATCTGAACATTCTTACACTGTCATTCTAAGCATTTGAATACTGCATTGTATTAGCTTCATATAAAACTGTGTCATCCATGTACTTCCGGTTAAAATGATGCGGGGTCCTCAGATAGACAGTCAATCTGTGGATATTCATGAATAGATCTGCAAAAAAATGTTAATTTAAAATTGATCAACGCTAATGCTCAGTTTCATTATATGCTGTACATTACATGTTTTGCAAACAATGATATTTTGTCTTCCGTCAGAGATAGATATGTTGTTAATTTTTTAATCCCAGTTTTACGTATCTCTATTTATTCTTTCAATAGCTATTGCTTTATCACTGAAAGATACTGACAGTTCAACGCCACCTAATCTAAACAAGCAATCTGTTTCCACTTCAAATGAGAAGTCTAGTTTATATCCTTCCTGCTCTCAACTTCCATTTAGTTCACTTTCAACTTATTCGACACCAGCATCATCATCAAATGCCTCTAAAACAACTGCTCCTCGCAATTCAAAGGGACAGGTAAGAGCATTGTACGACTTTGAAGCAGCTGAAGACAATGAATTATCATTTAAAGCTGGAGAGCTTATTCTACTCTTAGATGATTCCGATGAGAACTGGTGGCTTGGAAGCAATAATCAAGGTCAAGGTTTATTTCCTGCTCAATTTGTCAAACGTGAAACTGAACTTGATGGAATAAATAATGTCAAATCAAGTTCAAGCGAAGTTTCTCACAATACAGATGTTAAAAAGAACCAATCTACCAAAAAAATTGTCCCCCAACTTGATGAGAAAAAAATCGATGAATGTTTACGTCTAATTACAACTGTAGATCCTACTGGTGAATTTCAACAAGATCCACCAGAATTAAGTCAACTTGAAGCAGAATGTATAGCAATGGTTCCACTTGTTGATCCTGAATTAAAATTAGTTGATAAAGAAATTATTATGCTTACAGAATTAAATCAACGTTTATTAGATGCATTTCAATTGTATCATGATATCATGTCACGTCAGAATCCGTCAAATGCTTATTATACTGGAATGTCCAATACTATTGCTAACACCACGACTAACCCAATAAATCCAACAATCCCTTATTTACCACCAAATACTCCGAATATATATCCATACACCCAGCCAACATCGTCGATGACTAAATCTGCATCTGCAGTACCTATGGTATGTATGTACTATTTATTCTTATTATTACGTGATCACCTTGGTCCATAATTCACTTGTTCATTTTTATTGCTACATAACTAGTTGAGCGACAGAAATATGATGTTTGTTTTTGTTGTTGTCATGAGTGTTGATCTATATATTGTATTATTTTTATTGGGAATTTATTTATGTAACTGATGGATATATCTATCAATGATCTTCAAAATCATCACACTGAATACTAGATATTGTAGAGGTTCTGTTTGATTTGAGAGTGAAAGATCGACAAATTGGAGTCGGGACTTCACCAAGTCCTCTGGTACAGCTGAAGGTGTGGATAATCCACTCTCCCTCTCCGAACGCTCACATAGCCACGCGTACGTACATGCCCCATTCGCTGACTTTTCACAGCAGGAGCGTTTCTTACGAAATTCAGAGGGGAAAAAGCAAATGTCCAGTGGGGGCTTAAACCGGGTTGATGGGTAAGGAGGATCCATCTAGAAGAGTTGAAAAAGTCTTTGGTACGGCTTTTAATAATAGTGCTTTAGAACCTCGCGGTTAACAGAGTCGAACCTGCCATAAGGTCAAAGAATACCACTATAGTTGGTCGTCGGAAAGTATGTCTGTGTTTCAAAACCTGGTGAAGAGTGAATATCTAGTCAATACAACCATGTCTGATACTCAGGTCGGGTACAAATTGACAATAAACTGCACTTCTAACAGTATTATCCTTGATGTTATGTCATAATCATCATGTTCATTCAATTTAATAAACGATTATCTTCATCCATATCTTGCTCATCATTGTGGTTCTTCTATAGTTTTGCAACCACCTTCATGATTGTACGTCTCTTAAAGAGAACTTTGTGCTTTTTATTCAAAGCACGTTATTCTATGTTGAATTTCTCCTTGATTAACTCAGTTGAATGATAAAACATTTTTCACATATTATCTTTTAGAATGGATTCACTATGCCAACAGATTTGAATGGAACTGTGATGTTCCCTCCTACTGACTCTTACCCTATGTCAACTGGAATTTATGCGAATCCACAAACAGAAAATTTCAGTGGTAATCTTCCTCATAATCTTCATAGTGGTCAAATATCATCTCAACCCTTTCCTGTACAGCAGTTTTATGAATCAAATCAAATAGTACCTCCTGATGTTGTTACACAACAAATGCAATCATATCCATCTGGCAGTAACAATTATGGAGGTAGGTATAAAGAGTATACGTGTGTGTTTTAAAAATCACTTTCTTCCGTTCCCTCTCTCTACCCCTTCCATCATCCTCATCCATCTCTTTCTGTTTTTTTCCTAATGTAGTTCCAATTTATCCAATGAATGATTCTCAATCTATGGTGTATACAGATCAATCAAACAACACCCTCTCAACTCAGAGAAAACAATAACAACCGTAGGTTTCATCTAGTTTCATAAAAAAAATGGTAAGTTTTATGTTGTTGTTTTTTTTCATTTCAATGTCAGTCAGCTACAACGTAGGACCAGACACATATATGCGTCGGTCCAAGTTGCCATACCTCATTAACACAACAAGATGAACACCGGATTCATAAAAGTAGTTAATTCAGAAGTGGTGGTAATATATAAAAGAAAGATTGTGTATAAGGATATAGTAGAGGAAGAAAGAATTAGTTCGTATAGTTCATTATACCAGTTTCTAATGTATGACCATAATATAGATTTTCATTTCTATCATAAACTTGAACTGTTCTCATAGTTTTATTTTATCGTACTGTCGTAGAGCGGTGACTTAGTGATTAAGGCGTTCGACTTTAGTTTAAACTCCTCTCCACCTACTTCAGTTTGTCCAACTAGGTTGTAGTATCGTTAACTTTTACATTTAGAGTGTAGCTCATTTTCAAGTACCTGGTCAATAATTAATACTGCTATTTAAATAAGATAATGATGAAACTCAATATGAATAAATTCTATTTTATCGTTGATTGATATCCTAAACAGAAATGGTGTGTTTCTCAGATCTGATTAAGTTTCCCTATTTATTTAAATACATAAACATTGATACACTGAAGTACCAAAATATCATATGCACCATACAAAGTAATTATCACTAAATTTGCGTATGGGCTGGGATAATGCCCAGGTGCCCAAACCAAGGCAGGCGGTTTCCTCAGGGGGGCACCAACGACCTAGCCTTTGACCTAGAGGTCTTATCCACAAGACATTGGGCCAACATTAGTAGGTGCGATACCATGGTAGTCGGTGATCGAAAATATTTATTATTATTTATTTATTTATTTATATGAACACATAAATATTGGTACAAGAGAGCGCCAATATATATGCGCCACACGATCGAAAATAAGTTCACACACAATTTGTCCCTAAATGGTCATGGAGTCCATGTGTATCATTGGTCTGGAATCAAGATTTTCCAACTCTCTTAGATGGATCCTTCTTCTCCACCAACCCGGTTTAAGCCTCCATTGGACATTGGCTTTTTCTCCTCTCAATTTCATAAACAACACTCCTGCTGCGGGAAGAACGTCTTTGGTAATGGGTATGTAGTAGTATGTACGTACATGTGACCATGCAAGAAAATTCGGCGAGGACTCTTCCCAAACTTGACCTAACCAGGACATTTAGCAACCTAGATGTGCACCATGTTAAAAGTGATAAGCATTTGTGTTCAAATAATCACTGGTTATCGTTTTATGCGTAGTATATCCAGATTAATGAACAAGAAAGGAACGGTTCCACAGAGAATTTCATCCAGGAAGTATGCATTCTAATTCACATCAGTTGTTTGATAATCATAATAACTACCTTTATTGTAAGGGTAAATAAGTATTTACTCAATTGTATGGTTATTCCTCACTTTTCTCCGTGATATTAACCACCAACCTCATGTTACGTATACATACATCAAATGATCTTTGTTTTTAAACTTTTTCATTAGTATTCTGTCATTAAATTGTAATCGATTTTATTTTCTCTCTTCAGCTAGGAATCCTGAGAACCATTTTATTCATGAAAATGAAAGATATGCTATCAAGATGGGTTTTGTTCTGTTTTTTTTTTCACAAGAGAAAAGTTTCATTCCTTCGATATATAATAAACAAATGATTTCTTTTATAAACAAATACCTTCAGTTAAGTAAGCTCTAATCAACTTTAACCGTTTTCAATTTGTCTTTCATTCTCAAAAGTACTACTCATTAGTAGTAGTTCATCTGTTTGTTTGTTCTTTTTTGTCTGTAAACTTCTATCAAATTATCTTCATTCTATCATTTGTGATTTCATTAAATATAATTATTATAAATAATTGTAATTATTCATTGTACTTACATAATTAAATGAGATCTCATTAATACCTTTTTATTCAAATGATTCATAATTACAATGATTAAGATCATGAGTCAGTTGAAGCTAGACCACCATGGAAAACCTGGAAGCACTGGACAGCCGTTTCGTTCTACTGTAGGACTCCTCGGCAGTGCGCATCCATGACCTCGCCCCCTGCGAGATTCGAACACAGGGCCTACTGGTTTCACGCGCGAACACTTAACCACTAGACCACTGAGCCGGCATCCAACGATGTTAATGTCTAACTTCAACAAATCCACAAAATTGAGCGACATATCCACCATTGTCTTCAGTGAGTTACTATCTCACAACAGACCTGGTTGAACTCCACTGGTCACTGTTTCTCACTAGAACTCCAGGAAATACCTCTAGAAGCCATTCACTAGTGAGCATATGTTGATTAACATCAGAAGGGGCTTTGCGGATATTATAGTAATTTCAATGGTTAAGATCATGACTCATGATTACTATAATATCCACAAAACCCATCTGATTCATAATTAATTGAGGTTAGTACTACGGATTGTATGTGTTATCACTTGTATAATATAAGTTTGATAAACGAGTACTGAACACTAGATGGTAAAATTCGATGGATACAATGCGTTTGAAGTGAAAAACAAAAGAAACTTGTTTGTGAGATCAAACTATTTACACAAACTGCAAAAAATGAATGAATTTTACAGAATAGACTACTAGGTAAAAGAATAGGTTTTTTATGATAATCAATTCCCATGCTTATTATCAGGAGAAGCGAACGTTTTGTGGACCACTTGCTCGCCAATCAATTAAGATCTGACTTGAATTATTTATTGATCTAAACACAAATGTTGAGACAGAGGGGTACCGAAATATGTGTACCACATAATAAGAAAGAGATAAAGAGAGGAAGGTAACCAAAAAGTATTAAAAAATTAATGATAGAAGCATTTCAATTAAAAAATATACAATCACAAAGGATTCTTTTAGATAATGAAGTTACACCAGAACTGCTACTGGCTTCTATCCTGGGTCATGTTTATTAACGTCGCAAGCCACTAGATCCGTGAAGGACAAACAGATGTCATACACTGACCACCTTCGCTTTATACAACCATCAACAAATAGTGCACGATGTGGAATCTGCTTGGATGACATTCGTAGTACATGTGCAAGCCACCGAAGTCGATGCTTCAAGATTGTGACTCCAATTGAATTATCATCACTGACTATATTAGACCGGATTCTAGGGTTACTGTCGATCTCAAGCCCGGGTAAACGAGAATAGTTGGGCAAGAGGTCAGCTACCCCATCCCATAGAAAAAACGCTAACCAGAATAAACTGGGAGTTGAGGGAAGAATTATGAAAGCCGAGATTCTTCGAGTCTGATTCCCTTCATAACAACTAGAAAAATTATTATTATAGGTACATGGAATGTTCGGACAATATGGGAAACCGGAACGACTAGTCAAATAGCTGCAGAAATAAGGAGATGCAACTTGGTAGTGCTCTGAATCAGTGAAACCCATTGGACCGAAGCTGGATGTTATATGTCGACGAGAATAATGAATAGTAACTGTTGCGACCTATTTGTAGGCTAATACTATACATATATTTTTATTGTATAATTGCTAAGTAACTAGATTATGTATATTTATTTCGACCTATAGACTATTATTATACGATTTTTCATTCTTAATTTATACCCAGTTCATTGACTAGTCACCCACAGTCGCAGACTTTTTGGCTTGGTCTTGCACAAATGTTATTTTCTATTTTATGGTCTGTTTGGTTCACCTATAAACCCGAATGACATTTCCTAAAACCCATTCACACTTACCGCCTATTAGTGACCAGCCCCAGTGAACCCACCGGATATTGAAGCAGCACCTACAGACTTTCCCATAGATGTCACTCCACCAACGATCAAAGTAGTCAGCATGGCCATCAGACAAATCAAGAGCGGGAAACAGCAAGACCAAACAACATATCAGCTGAAGTCAGACATAGAAGTAACTGCAAGTATGCTTCATGTTTTATTCAGGAAGATTTGGGAGTAAGAACAAGTGCCGACGGACTGGAAAGGAAGATATCAAAGAAAGGCTATAACGAGTGTGAGAACCACAGAGGCATCACAATCACTATGAGTATCAAGAAAATTTTTAAACTGTTGAACTGACTCTTATGTGATATGTGAATTTCAGCCACATAACTGTTAGTATCTACTAGAACATGATACGTAGTTTGTTTCATAATCAGTTGTCCTCAATGGAAACATGCTTAGAGGTGAATTGATTGACAAATACCTCTAATTCCTCATTGAATTAATTAAATTAATCCTTAGCATACTATATGTGTAATATCGGTGCAATTTCTGGCTGTTTGTTTTTACCATGCCTAATACTGTAAACAGTGACATTGCTCGCAACACTGAACACTAGTAGTGTACCATGAAATTCATCCCTAGTAGGATAAATAGATTATGTCGCGACAGTTCGTATACTGGTTGTTTATTGTTATTTCATTTTTGCATTTAATCTAATTTATGAACAGAGGAAACTTGAACAGGTAGCCGAATGACTACAGCACCGTTTAAGACATTTTTGGTTGGTACTTGTCGATAGTCAATTGTCAAGTTCGTCTAAGAATAAAATCGGACCGGGATACTGTTTCATTCATAAATCCGAATGATATTTTCTGAAACTTACTGTTAATACATTTTTTAGTATATTTATGTTAACTATCACTTGATAATTCAGATAATTTGCACTTGCATTTCAACAAGACTAATTATAGAAGTAATCTTACCTAGAACTACTTGGATGACGTTCATCTCTTATTCAAAAACTATTTCGAACTTTAAAACAATGAGATGCAAATTTTATTTCCTCGGTAACTCGTTCAGACATTCACTTTGTACGATTTGTTTATTAATGAACTTGATGTGTGCACATACGTTACACATTATATGTGGTCGTTCATCATTACAGTTAATTACAAAATTACTAACTGGTCACGGCTTCTCACTAAAACGCTGGCAATTTTCAAACTTAACCATTCAATAACATTAAACAATCTCCACAAACCTCTATTCTATTACTTAAAAATATGTTCACTGGTGAATAACTTTAAAAGGAAATTCTCAGAATTGTGACTAGTACAGTCCAATCGTGTCGGGTATAAGGCATTTAACTATAATGGAAGATGGTTGCGCAATACCGCATATTGATTGAAATTAAACATGTAAGTCAATAGATGTCGACCACATAATCAAAATTTTAAGCTTGAGCTGCGAGATACCAATATTTCTGGGGTAGATTCCAGGCAGTTGTGTTTTTATATGTCCATTGTTAGACTCCCACACCAGGACAAAACAGATTTCTGGTGCTTTCTAGTTATTATTAGTTGCCTAACTTAAGTTGGTTCGTGAGCTCAATAACACAGTAATTGTTACCATATTTCAGAAAACCAACAGCAAGACTTGATAAAAGATGCTATTGTAATAAGCAGGTAACTAGTTTAGGGAACATAGAATACTTATTAGGTTCAATAACATAACTACCAAACAGTAATCTGACAAAGCTGAACAAGAAAGTATAAAGGTGTTTTTTTTTAATGAAAAAACAACTGATAATTGGTTATGCTCAATTGTTAATGACTTCGTCGACTAGTATCTCCCCTAGTTTTCCAGCTTCTTCATACATCACAACTAATAATTGCTTATGCTCAATTTTTAATGACTTCGTCGAGTAGTGTCCCCCCCCTAGTTTTCCAGCTTCTTTGTACATCACAACTAATAATTATACAGTAATATTAGTAGCAACTGGAACTGATGTACGTACGTACGAAGTTCTACGTTGTTACTGACTGACTGACTGACTAAGTAGTTTTCTTCTATAATGATTTTATAGAAAAAAAGCATTTTTTCTAACTTGTATTGTTAAGACTATTCAAACAAGTAATAAAATAGAATAAACATAATCCAGTTTAAATGTTATAAGTATAATATAGATTGAATAATTTTGAAAATGATCCTTGTGTACTATAGGCAAACACACATATATATATAGATATGAATTGGATATCTATCTATTACAGGATAATAAATGGTAAAATGATGAGAGAAGTACACATTTGGACTAAGCTATACATATATATATATATATATATTAGTCGACATTTCATGTATTTGTATTTCTAATCATAAAAAAGCTCAGGTGAGACTATAATTTATGAACGAACTAAGATAATAAATCTCGGATTTTGGCACAAAATTCACTCCATCTATTTCGCTAAATAAAGTTTTGACATTAGTTGATGATGATGAACACCCTTAACAACTATCAACTGTCAATCATAATTCTAATTCTTCACGCATTGGTTCATTTTGGTTCAAGTCATGAAGTGAACATACTCAATATCATCACTTTATAGCATCATTCAAAAGATTGCGTCCATAAATGACAGTCTCTACTTATGATTGATCCGCTTCACTTTGTTTCTTCTTCTTCTTCTTCTTTATTATTCAAAAATGAAATATGACACATTCTATTCAATGTTTGTTGACAATCATCATAATGAAATGGATGAGTTAATGGTAATGTTATCATATAAAATATAAATGGTAAACTCATTAAACTTATATACCAATAATAGATGGTTATATTTAATGCAAATAAAGCATATCCAATATAGAATGAATTCATGATTATAATAAGTAGATATTGTTCTGGTTTATATAGAATAGTCTGAATAAGTTTATATGGATTACATATAGGACGTAGGATACCGTCTATATTATCTATACAATAATCAAATATTAATGGAAATCTATATAATGAATCAAATATACTATAGAATAATATCACATAAGGATATATATAATATAATATGCCACCAAATAGAATAATACTCATACACATTATTGGATAAGCATATAATATACAATAAAGATAATGAAACCAATGATAATCTTTAAATACAATCATAATTAATAATGAATAAATCAATAAACTAATGATAACATTAATGATATAATATAGAATAGGTAATGAAGTCAATGGATAATTCACTTCTGATATACATCCTGATCCAGCATATAGAATAGGATAAAATTCTTTAATATTATCTATAGGACAATGATATAATGTAAAACTACCTAATGGAGGATATAATAATATAATGATTAAACTTGTAAATAAATGAATAATAATACAACATAGAAATAATAACCATGATTTTTGAGTAATACTCATTTGATGAGTAGTAGTAGTAGTAATACTACTGATACTACTATCAGTAGTAGTAGTAGTAGTCGATTGTTCTAAATGTTTCAAATCAATTTTTGTTAATGATAATATTGGTAAAATTTGTAATAAAAATATAATAGGTAAAATCATTATAAATCCAATATATAACCAATTATATAATGTGAATGATGTTAAACATAATTCACATATATGATTATATGGATTATTGTATTTATAAAATACTTTTGATCCCCATGAACATGATGTACATAAACTTGTATTAGATATTTGACCACAAAATTTTCTAGTACATTGTGAAAATAGTTCTAGATTGTTATTGTTGTTGAGGATATGGTTAGTATCAATTGGATTCATGAAAATACCCGTTTAGAATACACAGGATAAGAGCTAAACGTTAGTAATAATAATAATAATAATAATAATAATAATAATAATAATAACCAATTAGTTAAGATAACATCACTCACTACAAGTTAGTTCAGTAAAACATCTATGTGCTTACTTGTCCCTTTTTTTCACTTACCAAATTTATTTCACTGGTTTATACTATGTGAATAACATCTACTAACCCTAATCTTTTCGGTTACTGCTTATCCTCTTACTACCTCTAACACTATGGGATTTAAGTCGAAAATTATATCCTTGTGCTAATGTGTTATGGCGACTCGAACTCATGTACGTACGTACGAAATTCTATGTTGTTACTGACTGACTATGTGCTTACTGTTAATTTATATGTCATTACTTCCTGCCTTTTTTGGTACACGATCAATACTTACGGAAATCAGCTCAATGACTTTTAACTATGATAGTGCGATAAACCAATTTCTAACCTATACAACAAAAGGTAAAACATATTACGATGGAATTAGCATATATAGACCTAAGAAAAAATAACAAGACATTGAAATAAAGTAGTAATCACGACAAAAAGAAACTGAACACACAAAATATAGTTTGATAAACAGAATGTAAATGTATATCATGAAAGGATGTTAGGAGGGATTCGAAGGATAAAGACTAAAGTAGCAATAGAGCTTTTAGTACACCTATGAGGAAAGAATTTAACTAACTGGATGTGTATATACAGCTCCAAACACTCCTAGTTCAACTGACACTGCTATAAGTGAGTGATTTGTTACGGCTGCCTCCCTTGATTTCGTATACAAAATTACTTGTGGTGATTTCAACAGCAATGCTCTCGACTTGATATCCTGTCATAATGTCACACCGACGTATGAAGTGGTTGGCGAAAAGTTTAACAAAATTGATCGTAAAATAGTCTTATTCACTCTACTGTTTCTTGCAAAGTGCAACAAATCCAAGACAACAACGACACATTTTCAATATACAGACTATGCTCACAATGACTAGGGAAACTCGATTTCTAATAAAGCTCTCTGACTGGAGTAGTCTCTTTACTAGTAACAATCCTTCAGAAACATTAGAAATGTTCAATGTCACCACTAAATAGTACTATATTATGTCCAAAATGGCACCCCATACTGTACGATGGTGCGACGTATTATGTCCTAACCGTCATATGTGAACTACTAAGTGGATGGTTTTCCCACTATGGGAATAAATCTCATGTCCCAGATATTAATGTCAAATGCACCAGCAAAAATAATCATAGTATTAGTAACTTATCACTTATTAATATACACGTCTTCACCAAACACTTAAGTTGAATGCAAGTTCTGATGCAGATGATATCCCATTGATTCTTTAAAAGAATGGTAGGACCGAACATAAGAACACTATTACTCAAAATATTCACGTCATTCTTAGAAGCAGATACATACTCCGAATCTAGGAAGATAGCGTATGTTGCACCCATACACAAATCAGGACCAAAAAATTTGATCTAGAAATACAAACCTATAAATATCACCCCAATTATATGACGCGTAGTGGAAAAAGTGATATGAGATGAATTATCTGATCACCTACTCAAAAAAGCCTGGTTCACCCGTCAGAACACGGTTTCATAAGGACAAGATTTCGATCCACATGCTTGATAGGCTTCTTTAACAAGATAACTCGCATACATGACCAAAAACAACCAGTGTTTGTTTCGATATCAAGACAACTTTTGATAAGGTACTTCATAACCTCTTAATCGACAGACTTTAATCCGTTGAAATTACTAATCATCTATTGCAATAGATTAGTTCTTTTCTCACAAACAGATACCAAAAGGATTAGAATTAATTCTACAGCATTTATACCCCGACCACTAGCCAGTGGTGTTGTGCAGGGCAGTGTCTTGGGTTCATTGCTTCTTACAACCTACATCAACAATATATGCAGGTAATTCAACACGGGTAAAACTTACGTTTACGCTGATAAAAAAGATATTTGCGACATACAAAGTATTACGCAAACAATCCAGCGTGAACTCGACAAGATAGATAACTAATGTAAGCGCTGAAACTTTAAACTCAACACAGAGAAATGTAGATGACTATGTATTGGAGAAATATCTGTTAAAATAAAGCTAACACAAAGACAACGTACTGGCCAAACTCAAATCAGCAACTGACCTTGGGGTGCACTATTCACAAAGTGTAAAACTTCGCTGAAAACTTCAGTCCCACTTTGAAAACGACAGGAGGCTAGATAGATTAAAACATATGTTTGAGGGATTCGCAACGAAATTCGCTAGTTAATTTGGCAACCTAGGATCCATTTCATTGGATCCCATGGATTTGCTTATATTAAGCCCATTCAGTAAACAAATACATGGACTTCTTTGATGGTCACAGTGTCCAGTGTGTATGTACGTGTGTGGGGTTGTCTGGTATGAAGTGAAGGCACGGGTGCTTCTACGGCATACACATTGCTAAAGCAGTTCGGGAATACCTGAGGTTTTCCGTAGTCACCCTCCACCAATAATGGAATATCACTGTCTCTCAATAATGCTAGAATATTTCATCTCAATTCCTTGTTTTACATTTGGATATACGGGTTTAGGGCATTCGTTCAATTCCTTAACAAGTTTTTCTTCGCACGGCCTTCTAAACTTATTAAGGGTTGAGGCAAAAATATTTCGACCTTTTCGATATTGGGATTTCGTCTCGACAGAAACCAGTAACCTAATTCTCTCCCACATTCGTCTCCCATTTCGAAAAAGGAAGTGAAACACTTTATTGAGCCACTGTGAGGAGTCACCCTCCACCAATAATGGAATATTACTGTCTCTCAATTCAGATTCACATTTGTGTGGTAAGGACAGAAGGCCTACGGCCTATGTTATTCCTTTTCTAGTATGCTTCTGTGAATGTCCAGTTGTAGCGGTAAATAAATCCCCAAAATAAATAGCACTAAGTTTTCGACATTGGATGCTGACCATATGTTTTAGTGGACTCATCTAGCTGAAGGCTCTCGGTCAGGCATCCGCACCAGATCACGTGTGGTAACGCCGTGCTCAACATCAACCGCAATCGCTAGCCAGATTAGATCAGAGAATTCCGATATATTGGTCATCGCCAAATATACTCTTCCGATCTCCTCGACTCTGTCTTTTGATTTCTCTGGGCGGGAACGAAATATATTAGAAGGTGTTACTGGTAGAAGCGTTGTCAAACACTGAATACCTGTGACATCATCATTGGTGAGCACAACGTGATCTGGTACACCTTATTGCAACTGTGAGTCTGTTCCTTTCTGGGATTTTTATATATCATTGCCTTATTTTTTACTTTTTTTTAAACATTGTGATTTTTTTCGTGTTTTTTTCCTGGATATATATATATTTTTCCCTCGTTCGTTATCGTACTTCATACTTCATCATGACTGAACAGACACCTAAAGTACTCAAGCTTAAGACTTTGTCCCCGCCTTCGTTTCAACTGATGCTTTTCTGGCCCGACAACATCGAAGCCTGGTTTTGCTACGCAGAAGCCGACTTCTCCGAGCACGGCGTGATCGACACACGTGCACAATTCCTCGCAGTAGTCAAGGCACTACCGCGCGAATTCAACAGGTACGTAACACCTAGTATGTTTACTAGTGATGTTTCCCATCCTTACGAAATCTTAAAACGCTCGATTCTTAAACGAGGAGACCTAACCGATCGACAAAGGTTAGACCAACTCTTCAACAATATCGACCTGCAACACTGTTCTGCGACAGACATGTTGCAACGGATGAGAGAGGTAATAGGCCCAGGAACTTTCGACGAAGGTCTATTCAAACAACTCTTCTTGTCAAAACTTCCCCAACAGGTGCAAGCAGTTCTGGTCTCGTTCCAGAACAACGCCTTAGACGAGCTAGCTGTATCTGCCGACCGCATTTTAGAAATTACGAAACCTTCTACTACCGAGGTATTTTCAGTCAAAGAAAAACCTCAAACGACTCAGAATGATATAAACGACTTATGTCACACACTCACGCGTTATCTTAGTCTTCTTACCGATCGTAAGAGATCGCGCACTCCACGTAGAAGCATTTCTCGTAAGCGATCTATCTCTAGACCACGAGAGACAGATAACCCCGACTGGTGCTGGTATCATAACCAGTATGGAAAGTTTTCCAGAAATTGCAGAAAACCCTGCAATTTTCCCAACACGAAACCGACTGATTCGAAAAGCAATTCGGGAAACTTCCAAGCCGGCACGCGTTAACGGCGACCGTAGCCTGCGAACAAAGCCGTCTGTTATTCGTCACAGACGTGACAACGAGAGTTCGCTACCTCGTCGACACTGGCGCAGAAGTTAGCGTTCTCCCAGCAAATCCTAACGACCGACTTCACGAATCGACCCTAAACTTACAGGCGGCAAACGGAAAACCGATCGCTACGTATGGCAAAAGGTACGTTTACCTTAACGTGGGTTTACGCAAACCCATTCACTGGATTTTTGTTGTTGCAGATGTTTCTATGCCAATCATTGGTATGGACCTTCTACAACACCACAATCTGATCATCGACACTCGCAAACGGAGGCTAGTAGACGAAAACACTAATTTGTCCGTTTGCGTAACTTCCTTTACTGGTTGTAGAGTATCCCCAGTCACAGTTAAACATATGATAGACCCACTCTATCAACCACTACTCGATAAGTACCCTGGGATACAACAAACTCAACCGAAACCACCGTGTGTAACCAGCAATGTTACACATCACATCACGACTACAGGACCACCTGTATTCTCTAAAGCACGACGACTAGCTCCTGAAAAGCTAAGGTTAGCGAAAAACGAATTCGATCACATGATGGACTTAGGAATCATACGACCGTCAAGTAGCCCATATGCATCTCCGTTGCATATGGTCCCTAAAAAGGACAGCAACGATTGGCGTCCAACTGGTGACTATCGGCGATTGAACGCGAAAACCATTCCCGATCGTT